TTATATCCAAACTGGCGGGCCTTGCAAAGCCCGTTGCAGTAGGCACAGCATCTTTTCCAGCAGATGGATGCATCAGTGGTTCTGAGGCAAACGCTGGAGGAGGGCTTCGGGTCTCCGTTCCAAGCGAAACTGGATGGTTACCGAACAAGTTCTTCTCCAAACCCGTCTGCAAGAAAAAAAAACAAAATTAAATTAAATCTCTTAATACAAGATTAAAAAAAAAGACATTAACGAGACAACGTTTTATAACCCAAGCTGACAGGTACTATAGTTTTCACAACAAGATGATGAAAGGAAAACAAGTCCAACTCTGATTTTATAGATTAACCTGCAAAGGGTTTTCTTTACAGCTTAAGAATGAAAATGAAAGCTTAATAATGTGCACGCAAAACATATGTAACTAACTGGTTTGGTTGACTTGACAGCCCGGTATTGTTAAATTCAGGCAATGTCTACATATTAACTCTACTGGCATATATCTGTTCAGGAGATCCAGTAAATTGTCATTCACGGTGAAGGTAAAAGCATATGATTTTGACTATAGAAACGTTAACTATAATCTATTGACAAAACAACTAAGAAAAATAAATGACCTGCAGGATTGCTTCTTTCAGATATGAATGAAGACGTGATCCCGAATCTTTCACGCTTTTTGGAGGCCATATCTGCAACAAGTCGAGCACTACCCTTGAGTTATAACTTATAACATAAACCAATAGAAAAGCTTAAGATACATTCAGCAAAGACTTAATCTCAAACACAAATAATAATTTAGAGCTAAAATATTAAGGTCCGGTTGAAGTAAATAATGACTTGTTAGCTTATATCTTACAGTGTAACCAATTTCAAGCTTGATGAACATGTACTGAGATTCAGCTGAGCTTGTAACTCTTCGAAAGTTTCTTGCAGATTTTTGGAGATCATATAATTTTCAAAAAGATGTTTCGGCGATACTTTTCTCGAGAATCTCTTACAAGCTCTCAAAATAATATGGACAATTTTATGGGCTGCAAATGTACTTAGAAATGAAACAGCTTATAAGTTTTTTCAACTGAAGATTTTACTTGAATATATCCTCTGAGTTGATAACGTTGGTTATAAAATATGGCTGCTAACTTCTTTTATATGCTCTATCATATTCAAATTATTTTCAATATAAGATCCAACTTCTCATTCCCAGAAACATCTCATTAGATGTAGGAGCTTACATAGCCATATGCCCTAAAACAGGAGCAAAAGCTAAGGCATTTATCAGATGTACTAAGATAGTAAGATTACATTAGATAGCCAATATGTCAACAATTTATGTATCAGCACCTTATACACTTTTATATTAACTCCCCAACTATTATCCCAAAAAAGAGGAGTTCCCAACTATTATTAAAAGAAAAAAATAGGGACTGCAGTGAAACCAATCATGAATTTACTGCCGAGAAGGGTTGACGAATTACTATATATAAGACACCAAGACTGATTTCACCAATAGTTGCAAACAAATGGAATTATTTCAATTAGCTACGAGATTTGGTTCAATTTTTAAGGTTCAGATGAGGACAAACTAAAACAAATTCATATATTCATTATTTAGAATCGAAAAATTCGACGAATATGATAACAAATAATTGCATAAACAAAACTGATCAAAATTTCCACGTACATCGCAGTTATACTTGGTTAGGAACCCTAAAATTACTCTTTCAGAAAAAATAAAAGCAACTAGCATCTTATAGCAATTTTTTTGTCAAGAGTAGCAGGATTCCAGTAAGCAAGATCACATCACCGACAACAACAGTATGGGAAATTATCATGTATTAGACTAATAACATGACTCTTTTACTAAATGAATTCAAAGAGTATGCAATGCTGTAGGTTCAGTAATAAATTGATCATAAAAAAGAAAAAAAAAATAATGATGATGGAGCAATATGAAATGGCAGACTCGGCAATAGCATAACATACCGAGGTTGAACAGCCTGGACAAACATACCCAGCAGGCGCAGTGTGTGGAGGAAAGCTCTTAATGTGGGACACCAAGCAACTAGTATGTATAACATCTGCAAAGAAAAATCATGTCTTGGAAGCGAAAGGGACAAATTCAATATTTCCAAATTAAAAGTCGAATAATTTTCAAGAGAACACATACGCAAACAGCCCAATCTCGTCGTTTGAGGGTTCGACCCCTCGTCCAGCACAGCTTGGCAACTGCAGCATTTAGGAGGCCAATCATACTCCCCATCAATGACCCACTCGGAGTAAGTACGCACCTAGAAGAATCCATCAATTATCTCCTTTTTTCTTCAAAATTTACAGATCAAAACATGTTCACGAAACAGATGCATTTGACAAATAACAATACCACACAAATTTGGTGCTCCGGGAAGCATACACATTCTCCGCAAACTGGCACATTGTGGACGAAGCAATACAACTTGGTCGCCTAAATTCCGAAAAATACAAGAACTCATTAGCCAAAGTATTTCATTAAACAAAAAATCCAACCACCCATCAAAACACCAAATGCAAGCAATCTATAAATTTTGTAGAATGTTCAATTCAACCTAACGCCAATGATGGATGATATAAAATAAAAACCCCGATTCTAATTCATTCTTCTCATCACGTATCAACTAGCGGCAGACACATCCAGGTGAATTAAGGAACTAGATTGAAATGAAATGAAATCATCTCAGAATTAACGAATTCCTAACCGATCCGATCTCGAGATTCGGAATCGCATCAATCGATGGAAAAAAATTCAATCAGCAACACGAAACCGTTTCATCGGCGCGCGTACCTTGCGGCATTTGCAGACCACCATTGCAATCTCTAGGCTCGAGCCCGGCGACGGGGCAGCCAATTGGAGATCGAGGCTCCGAATCAAAATCAGGGGTTGTTTAATTTGCTCGGGCACTCCATTTCAGAGGGTTTTAAAGCTGTGTTAGGGGGGAATTTTATGTGAAGGTCATAAACATTATGATGAAGTAGATCGAATTAAGATATCATATTTGAGTGTAGTTACTAGTTATCACTGTTTCAGGTATGGTAGCCACAGGCCGCCGGCCCGACATGGACCCGGCCCAGTCATGCTCGTTGACCAAGGGTCCTGGCCTGGATCGAATTTTAATCGGGCCGGTCCAAGGCCTTATTTTTTCGATCTTAGCCCGGCGGGCTAGCCGAGCCCAAACCGATGGCTCGCTTTTCTTTCTATAAATTTTTTAAAAATTACGGACCCGGCCCGATTAATCGGGTCATTGAACCGGCACAAGCATAGGTCCGTGCCAGGTCTAGGTCCTTATATTCGAGCCCGGAGGCCGACCGGGCCGTGACCCGGGCTGTGTTTTGCCATGTCTACTTTCACTCTCCTTTTCTCCATGTTTAGAAATTTTGCCAAACAAATTACAATTACAAATTAATCTTAATTTTCTAATTTTAGTATTTTAAGCATGACTTTTTTTTTTTCCTTTTCAAATTAAGTCATACATGAAAGAATCGAATAAGTGTAACTTCAACAATATAAATGAAATTGGAGAACTAACACAATTTACCACCATCGTGAATTGTTGATTTAACAATTACAAACTCCGACGATATGTTTCTTCGAGTCATCTTATCTATTGAGATAACAAATTCAAATTTGAACTTTGACTCAGCAATCTCGGCACTATTGTCATCCCAAATTCAAAAACCAGTTGTTCTGATCCTATATTTGCAACTCACACAACATGCTTTTAAAAATTTTGCTCATCATTAGATTAGGCGTTGTCACCAGGCCACCTCATTTCTTTTGTAGAGTTATTAGGGTTAGAGTTTATTGAGTGATACATATTCTTACATGGATTAGCTAAACATCTAACTTATGGAGTGAAAAATATTTGCCTAACCCAAGAGCGCTTGTATGAGATGGCTTGGGTCTCTTCCAGCTTAACCAGTGGTCTCGTGTTCGAGCCATGGGAATGCAGCAGTGTTAAAACTCTTGAGGTAGAGTTTTGCCGCCCTTGTGGTCCTACCCGACTCGATTCTGGATTAGTCGGTTCTCCTGTGTATCCGGAAACCGGAAAGTCCCTGTACAAAAAAAAAAAAAATATTTGCCTCCAACTATATACGATGTATTAAAAAAAAAAAAAAACTTATTTAACAACCGCAAATACTTGAGTTGTTTTGGGAGTAAAGTTTAAGAGTTTAAATTAAGATTGCAAATGAACCAAATTAATCGCAAGTGCTCAGTTTGACATTGAGTTCAAATGAACCCGAGTAGAGATCAAGCAGATCGACATTTGTATTGAAATTCAAATAGAACCCAAGTCGATTTTGAGCGTTGCGTTTTTTATCGAGTAAAAGTGAGTCTATATACATTCGACCCGTTGATTTAAAGCTCAAACAAAAATAAAAGAAAGTGAATCTAACTTGATAAGGATAACACTCAACTCAAAATATTTAATTAGGACTAAGCACTACTCCTAAAGATTAAACTACTTTGACAAAATTGTTCGGCATGATGGAAGTTCAAAACCGATATGTATAGTGCATTGTATAAAACTAGTTATTATTATCAAGCTTTATCTTATTTCTTGTTTCACTTTATAACATAAAACCTCGACCTAAACAAACAGATCGACCACACTATAAATTTGATTTTAAAAAAAAAATAAAAATAAAAATCCACCGCTGTGTAGTGCCTTTCGAATTTGAATTTCAGAGATCTCTCACTCGTCTTCGGCCTTCCGCTCTCTCATTTTTCCCTATTTTCAAACCCCAAGATCTCTGTCTCTCTTTTCAGAATTAGCTCCCAAAATTTCTGCTAAAACCCTAGTCACCTCCTCTCGCGACGCTGACTGACGGCGACGATGACGGCGGCGCCACCACCATCGACTGGCCGCGAGCTGTCCAACCCTCCCACCGACGGCATTACAAACCTCCGCTTCTCGAACCACAGTGACCATCTCCTCGTTTCTTCCTGGGACAAGGTTCGGCTCCTGCTTTCATTGAATAGTGGCGTGTTTGTTTTTTTTTTCCCCAATTTTGGATCCGCGAATCATATTTTACTTTCTTTAAAAAAAGTTGTTCTTGATGATTTTATATTGTTAGAGTGTCCGGCTGTACGACGCGAGTGCCAATGTGCTGAGGGGAGAGTTTATGCACGGAGGAGGCGTGCTTGATTGCTGCTTTCACGATGACTCGTCCGGGTTTAGTGCCTCTGTTGATCACACCGTTAGAAGGTGATTTCAGCTTTCCATTTCAAAGACCTAAGTTTTCAATTTCTAGATGACATTTGGTTCAAAATGATTAAAGTATTCAGCTTTCTAGTTCGTTTGGCAGGATTTGAATTCCATCTTATGTTTCTCATGATTTTCGGTATTGATCGGCTTTCACCTGTGCAGCTATCTTTTATTTTCTTTTGTTGGGGGGTTAATGCAGTTATTCATGGGTAGATGACAATTTTTGTGCCTACTCAGATAGAATTTTTTTTCTGGTTCCAGGCTTGTGTTCAACCACAACAGGGAGGATATTTTGGGGAGGCATGATGCCCCGGTTAGGTGCATTGAGTACTCATACGGAACTGGTGAGTTCTCCATTCGAAGTTGTGACCTTTTATCGCTTTTCAGTATTGATTAGGGCATAAACAAGCTTGCAGGCTTGCTTTTTCAGTTTGAACCTTAAGGGTTCAGCTTAGAATGCAAATCGTTGTCTATTATGTTGCTAATTCGATACGAATATGTCATTCTAGTAGTGGATTTACTCGTTCGTATGTTTTTTTGTGAAACGTCAAATATTGCCCTTGTACAACTATTTCTCTTATCTGCTCACACCCAGTTTTCCAATCTCGAATTTTGTAAAGTAGCGAATTTTCTTGATGAACGGTTTACTATAAACAGAAAACAAAATTTTTTTGCAAGAATTGTAATCACGGAGTGCACTTGATTGACATATTTCTTTCACTTGTTTATAATAACCTCTTCGCACTATTTCAGGTCAAGTTATCACCGGTAGTTGGGATAAAACGATTAAGTGTTGGGACCCCAGAGGTGCAAGTGGTCAGGAACATTCACTTGTCAGCACATATTCTCAGCCCGAACGAGTATACTCGATGTCCCTTGTCGGCAATCGATTGGTGATTGCAACTGCTGGAAGACACGTGAATGTGTATGACCTTCGGAACATGTCCCAGCCCGAACAACGAAGAGAATCCTCGCTGAAGTATCAGACTAGATGTGTTCGATGTTACCCCAATGGGACAGGTGTTAATGCATTTCTATCAATCTTAATTATTTGATCAGATTTATGCTAAAATAGTTAGATGCTAATCAAGAGATTTTTGTTTTATCAACTCAAGCGATATGTATCTGATTATTTCGTACATATATATACTCTTTACATCCGTGGTTTGCAGGCTATGCTCTCAGTAGTGTGGAAGGCCGGGTTGCTATGGAGTTTTTTGATCTGTCTGAGGCTGGTCAGTCGAAAAAGTATGTTTGCTCTCGAGTAGAATATTTGCTTGCCGATGATAACTGTGATAGACTGACTTTAGTGTTTGACATTGTGTCACCGAGTTATATTTTTGGATTTGGAGAAAAATGGCCGACTTGATTGTCTAAAGCTTTTTAGATGGAATATATGATTATTTCATACTCGTTGATAACCATTCACTCATATTGTGGTCACTTTTTGCAGATATGCATTTAAATGCCATAGAAAATCAGAAGCAGGAAGGGATATTGTGTACCCTGTCAATGCAATTGCATTTCATCCTATGTAAGTTTTGCATTGAATGTTTCATATTTGTTTCTAGTAATATATACTTTTTTAGCTGTATAATTTTTTTTTTCACTATTTTAATATTATTTGTTGAATGTAGCTATGGTACTTTTGCTACTGGAGGCTGTGATGGTTATGTGAATGTTTGGGATGGAAACAACAAGAAGAGGCTGTACCAGGTAATAATATACACCTCGAATCAGGTTCTCGTTTCTTCAAAATCAAGTACCTGTTTAGAAAAGGAAAACATAAATTTTGTGCTAACTTTTTTCTCTTGTCGTGCCCCTTCGTTTTGTTTATTGCAAAGTATCCCAAGTACCCAACAAGCATTGCAGCTTTGTCGTTTAGCCGGGATGGAAAACTCTTGGCAGTTGCATCCAGCTATACATATGAAGAGGGAGAAAAACAGTAATCAATCTCTCTCTCTCTCTTTATATATAAATTTATGAATTTCCTTTACATATTTATCTATCTTTTGCATATCATTTTTCGGGTTCAGACCACTTTAAGGATCACTTACAATACTTATTATGAGCATGTGTCTGTTTTTGTTTTACAGACATGAACCAGACGGCATATTCGTTCGGAGTGTGAATGAAGTCGAAGTGAAACCAAAACCCAAAGTTTCAACAAATCCTGCTGCATGAATGAATGAGTGCTTATCCTAAGACTAGATTATATCTTTCTTTAGGTTTGTAACATTTTTTTTTTTTATGTTTGCCTTTTGGTCTTCTGTGTTTTGTGGTTGTGAATTCTGGGATTTGTTGTTCTAATCATGTCCTCGCTGATTACTTTGAATGATGGGATAAATCATTGTGATTTAAGGAGAAATATTTGAATCTTATAACTTCTATAATTTTTTTTTTCTGGATAATTGAGATAAATCATTGTGATTTTCAAATTAATTTAATAATAAGTCCAAAGCGGACAAAATATTACCAAGAAACTGTTCAAGCTATGACCACCACATAATAATACATTTTGTTGAACTATAGTTTGGTATTATTAGAAGTAAAATGTTATGCTTCTATGGCCAATAGTTTTACCAAAATTGTTTTATATTTTTTTTATTTTTTTAACTTGCTCGCCTAACTATATATGTGGAGGTGGTGTGTGGCAATAGAATAGGCTAGTTACGTGTCATTACTTAAGAAAAAGCCACAAACAAAAGATTTTGGTCTTAATAATTAAGGGAACGATTATAATCCCGTCAAGTTCCGTCACTATTTATTACCGTAGATTACCTATAAACATAAACTACATGTGTATTCAATGGTGAAAAACACTGACTGAACCATCTCGTAACAAAGTCTTAACATTTTCCAATAACAAATCCGAACATGTTGAGGTCATGTATTATGTCTTAGATGTGGGTATCTTATCACTATATGACCCAAACTTTACATAAATTGAATAAGTTAAAATAATCGGTTGGTCAAGTATGAGGTGGTTTTGCGTATTATCCAACCTAATCCTACTTCACAAGTCTAGCTTGTTAGTTACCGGATAAGCTTTGGATAAAGTAAACGAATAGGATTCAACCTACATGTGACTATAGTGAAGTTACCGAATTTTTTTGTTTGGATCAACACATACTCGTTGGGTATTATAAAATGAATATTGGAGTGTTTTATGAAAAAACTGGATCGAATTGCAAAAACCAAAAAAATTGGGCGTAAAAAAAAATTATTTGAATCACGGCAACACTAAAAACAAAACAAACCGAATTTCTTTTATACTAAAATTAAATAATGGAACCGAACCGCACCACATCGAAATGTACAGTGCAACTCCATGTTGGATTGTGCTTCGTTTTTTCTATGCATTTTTGTGGTACAAAATCGTGCATCGAACCGAGAAAAACCGATAGCCAAACTTATGAAAAATAATAAGAATCCCACCGCAACATAAGAGGAAGCCGAATCTGAAAAAAAATTTAGACTGAAAAATTGAACCGTACCGCACCGATTTGCATGGCTGGGTTCGATATTTTTTTTTTTTAATTTGGGATTGGGTTTTCTCCCCAAGATGTGTATGTGATAATAAAACAAATCGACCTAGTTGATTGGGTTGAACTCTCGATATACATGGACCGAAATTTTTAGTTTAGATAATAGAATAAATTATGGCCACAGGGAAAACTTGTATTTTCATTTGACTAAATTTTGAGATGGCTAATGAAAATTCTCAAAGCTATGCAACAAGTATTGTTACTCGCTTCGGCCACACGAGCATGAGTGAAGCTCGCCGGTAGGCCAGCTGAGCTTAGCTGGCTCAGGCACATGACTTGGACTTGGACTCGGCAGCCTTAGACAATCTGGGCCCGTTTGGGCTTGAGCATTGGTCCAATCCCTACAATCTATTTGCAGTATATTTATTTGCAAAGTTGTGGCCCACTATTAAAATTCAAACTATGTTTGATTTGGACTCGAGTTTTGACCCAACTCATGTGGATCGTTTTTATGCCCTTGACAACAACAGTCGGTGGGTTGTTACTAGCCTTAAGTGGCAGCCGACTCGTGGTTTCCCCTTCCTGAGTTAGAACTCTACAAATATATAGGAGTTTTTAGATTGCAATAAAGACACTGAATATATGATGACATTGCACATCTTACATAGTGCTCATTTTTTTTTTTTTTTATTTAACTAAAAATCCATACCCATCCACGTGTCCCACCTTTGGGTACCTTAACCCACAGCCACAAATTCAACTCCGAACTTACTTAAAAGGTAGAGATGGATATATTTTGTAGGTGATTTTTTCTTGATAAAAATAAATAAATAAAATAATTAATAATTTAAAATATATGATAATGTGATATAGGATATAATATTTAATTGTAATACGGTTCGTAAATAATAAAATAATAATTTCTTTTTCATAGATGTATAGGTGGGTTACATAATCCAATGAAAATGAAAAGAAAAAATATATTAAGAGATATTCCTATAGAAATTCTAATGTTAAACTTGTAGTTGAAAAATATTAATGAATATTTTTCAGTTGGAATTAATTTTTTTTTTTTTTCAATCTAGTTGGAATTTGAGGATTCCAACAATACATTTTCTAACAAATTATTGTTGTCGGAATTGCTATTGCGACATGTAGTTTTCGTTGAAATATTTTTATTATCTGTAAGTTCTATCGTTAAAATTGTGGAAATCTCAAAATCAACATAAAATCCAACTAAAACCAATTTTGATGGAACATAAAATTCTTTAATGGAAGGTGTATTAATATTAAAATATTCATCTATTTTGTTTTTAATATTTATTTTTTGTAATTATTAAAAATTCAAATTCTACCATTGCTGTAATTATTTTGTTTTTAATATATATATATATATATATATATATATATATATATTGGTTCAATTCCACAGAATTGCAAGTAATTAAATTTGTAGAAGTCTTTAGTCAAAGATAAGAGAGAAGAAATCAAAAGCTACAAAAATTTGGAGGAGTCTTTATTAATAAAATAAAATAAAAAAATAAAAAAATAAGATGAATGAAACCCACTTGACAACAATATTCATGCTACAAAGCCATCAAATTACATTCAAATTAGTTCTCCTTTTGTGTACTATGGCAAAGTTGGAAATTTTATCTGCATTATAAATTTAGTCATTTTGTTGACAAATAAAAAAATATCAACATATAATTACTTTAGAATAAATGATAAATAAAGTAGCTAATAAAGCTAATACCAACACATAATTACCTTAAATAAAATACATATTATTTTTTACCTTTCAACCGATATTCATGTGCTGTGCATCTTTTATTTAGTATAATAATAATTTGTTTTGACTTGGAAAGGTCACTTTAGTCTTTAGTGAACCCCCAATTGCTAAAGTCAAAGTCGGTCATAGTCAACTCTCTCTCTCTCTCTCTCTCACAAATTGAGTCTAGTATTGCCTATGTGACAAGTAAATAAACCCAACATGGATAAAATTATATAAAATTGAGAAAATCTACTCAATGCAAAGAGAATAAGTCTCTACTTGAGTCTAATAGATTTACGGGTAGACCGAGTCTCTTTTTATGACTGCCACATCAACATGACCTATTCTACTTTTGTTTCAATTGGAGAATAATTTTTTTTATACTAGGTCTATTTCTTAGATGATATATTTTTTTTTGTGATTGAACTCAGCATCGTGGATGCTCTCCCCAACAAATTAGCAATAATTTCATTACTCCACTCAAAAAATTTGAGTAGATTCACTCCTACTGGTGAATTAATACGTATACGTATACTCATACGAGTGTTTGTTGTTCGAAATGTCCGTTTGGGTAGTTGTTCCGACTATCTTATAGCGTAGTGATTTATTGGGGAGTTGAAGGAAAGAGTACTTTGAAACTGATATACGAACACCTATTTTCTTTTCAAAGTTCAAAATTCAATTATACGCTGAAAAATATGAGAAGAGCAAAAGCATTAAAAAGAATCAAAATAAAAAGCCAGGCAATGCATACAATTGTCTAGGGTGAAATTAGTGTTGTTAAATTTAACGAGTCTGACTCAGCTCGGCTTGTTAGGCTCGAGTTCGAGGCATTAACGAGCCAAATTCGAGCTCATTTATTGCTCGTTTGGTTAACGAGTTGGCACCACTCGATTAAGACTCGTTAAGTCTCGAAAAGAGAACTTTTATATAATTTTTCATAGTTTGACTCGTTAAAACTCGAGATCGGCTCGTTAACGGTCAAAACTTAAAGCATTAACAAACCTTTGACCTAACTTTTTATCGCCCAATTCCCACTCGCACTCAAAGCTTGACCTGCCTCAAAGACGTGTGAGCTCTCCTCACTCGTCCCCAATAAAACTATTCCTCCCACCACTCCCCTTTATATATATAATAATAATAATAATAATAATTCCTTTATATTGATTTATTATTAAAATAATATAATTATAATCCTTTCACACCATTATATGATAGGCAAATAAGATAATTACACAATTAACTAAAATAATAAAAAATTATAAATATATAGTTCAATAATTTGTTAATAAAACTCTTCCACCGCCACTCCCCCACGCAACTGCCAACCTACAAAAGAAAAACTATATATCTTAATATTTATATAATTCCTATTATAAATATCCCCTTGGCTTCCTCACTCTCACCTTCACATCTCAACAAAAAAACATTAGTAAAATTTACCTCTTCTCTTCATTTTTTGAATTTATCAAATCAAATCTCTTAGTACAGAAGAAACTACTACTATGGCTATTGAGGCCTTGAATTCGCCGCCGGTCGGCTTCTCCCCCGGCCGGTATGAAGACGTCGAGAAGATCGGCGGCGTTGACTCGTGGTCAAAACCCAGCCGGTCAAAGCGCCGCCGCCGCCGCAGCCAATCGGAGGACGAGTACCTCGCCGTCTGCCTCATCATGCTCGCCACGGGAAGCGGCGGCGGCGCCGCCATCCCCTCTGCCGCCTCCGAAATTGAAGAGATCGAAGACAACACCGACGTCGCCGGAGATCGGGAACCCGCCGCCGCGGCGGAGGCCCTCCCCGGCTCCTACGGCTGCAGCGTGTGCGGGAA